TGAGCCAAAATAAAACTTTCCCAAAGTAGTCTTATTTATTACCAGAGCTCCTGTCTATTTTTGAGCTGCCTTACTAGAGCATGGACTCCGTCATCCCTGGTGCTGCAGTTAAAACAGCATTCGGGCTCAGTTTGCAGGTGCAGAGAATGTCATTTATTCAAGTGCGGGCATCGTTTTCACACTCCTGCTGTTCTTTTTTGTCATTAGATAGAGCACCCAAGCGATTTGTATTTACTGGTTTGCATTTATTACTTCCGTTAGTCACACAGTTTCATAAAACCCTGATAAATAATACATAAAATATGTATGAACATGCATATTTATAACTTTTTTAGTAGAAAATTCAGGGTGATTACTGGAAAAAGATCAGACCATTTCTAGCAACATATCTTGAGAGCAAAAGGATATACAGAGTCATTTCTATGAACCACTGAATACAAAATGACATGACTGTGAGAGGAAAGAAAACCAAGAATAGCAAATACTGACCTCAGTGGAAAACCACAAGTTTCTTAATTTGGGGGGAAATTGTTTATCATTAGATGCGGCTTATTCTGATCAGGAAAGCAGATAATACAACTGTAATGCATCACTTACAGATGTTGTGGTTACATTTGGAAAGTGACATTGGTATAGTTTTCCCCCGATCTAAACTCTAAACACATTTACTTGGAACCAGCCCTTTTTTGGTAGCAGCCATAAATCAGCGGCGGTTCCCGTAACAGATTCCACAGATGCTTCACTGGCCTATGGAGGATGTTTCATTGTACACTGGGAGCATCCGTGCCAGAAGTGTCCTTTCTCCCCTTTCCATAAAAGTGCAAGTTGTCACGATGGTGTGGCATTCATTATCCGCCTGCGGTTTTGTGGCCCTGATCTCTGAGCAGCTGGAGAGCATTGGTTGTCACATTCAGCCTCCCGCCGTGGTAAAAGATGGGAGGGCAGGAGATGAGAACTGTCTCCTTGTCGGTGTAATAAAGGCACCTTATCCACAGTGTCTGGGCATCTGGGCACATAGTGCCTCACCTCCCTGAATCCGCTTCAAAGCCTTGTCTCAGAAAGCAGCTCCCAGTGAAAAACTGAAATAGAAATTAGAGTTGGAATGACAAGAACCGTGTGTGTGAACTCAAGGGCAGTTAAGAGAAGTTAAAGGATACTCAGTTTACTACAACTTTTGTCTTATTTTTATAGTTCATCATCATAGTCATTCATTTTATCTGTGATTATACTATACTCATAAAGTGATTGCTTATCAGGAACACAGCAACAACGCAGTCTGAAAGGCCAGGGAAGGGCAGTCAGACGGGTTATAAACAGTTAGAAGATTTCTTATCCAGATTGTGTATATGATTTAAACTGAATATCAAAACATAGAGACTGATAATATCAGTGATGATCTCTGGTGTATTCACAACTTGCGCTTGTATTGGAGGTCAAAGGTGAAACAGATGTTCCTGAGCAACAATGATAATCGTAATATTTTTTATTATGTTAATGTGCTTTTTTTGCCTTTACTGATAGATTTTAATATTAAATGTTACTGGGTTGCCCTGTGATGGATTGGCGACCTGTCCAGGGTGTACCCTGCCTTCGCCTGATTGCCGGCCGGGATTGGCTCCCCCCCCATAAATTAAACTAAACAAAATCTCCCATCTACCTTTGCTCTTCCCCCAGTAAGCTTAGCTGCCCTGGGAACGAGGACTAGCGCTTCATTAAAAATGTAAATAATCGTTCAAATGTGGGATGAAATAACTATTTAATCTATGAGGAGTTATTTCATATTCACAATTTTCTGTGTCTACTTTAAGTGCAGTGGGTCATTCCCTGTTCTGTCTGTCTGACCCCATTACATTTCCTATTGCCCTATTAGTAAACTAGGCTATTATTGCCTTTTGCCAGTGGAAAATAGATAAATTAGCTGAATGTATAATTATGACAACAAACTAACTAAGAAGTAATGCGAGTCAGCCCTTAGGATTCAACACCATACATGGAAAAATCGAGAATTAAAGGAAGTTTTATGACTTTATAAAACACAGCTATGTACTTTAACATTAGCTAGCTAGTAATGTTAGCTTATCATTGAAGTGAGAGAGAGAGAGAAGAACATTAAATCTTCAGTGTATATTATAAACAGGATGCATTTGAATTAATTGTAACAAATTACATTAATTTAACTTTGTTCAAACTATTTAAATAAAAAGTGATAGCTCTTGTGAGTATGAATGATGGCCAAAACTACAGAAATAAGACCAAGTTGATATAAACTGTAGTTATCCATTAATCCATTAACTTAAATATACTCCTATGTTAAGTATTCAAGTCCTTATTTTTAACCCAAATGAAAGTGATGACAGCCTTTATTCAGCAACATAAGGTCATATTACCTCACACTGTGAACTTCATCTATGACAAACTAGTTTTGCAACATAGACAAAGATAGATGTTGTCATACAGACAGTCATTATTTCTAACAAGTACATAGTGGACAGTTTAGTCATAGCCACCAAAACCAGCTCATCTGAGGGGATAGAGTAATACTGTGGGAAGTACATGGGTTGAAGAGGAGAGCCTTGATGCAACAGAAAAGTCCCAGAGGAATATGAAAGGAGTGGAGTGCTGTGGGAAAGTTCAGTGCCCTTGAAGAAGCCTGATAAGCCCAAGATGATACGAACCTGCATGTTTGCATTGTGCAAACCTGTGACGAGTACAAGCATGCTGCTGATAGAGAGCCGCCTTAGGGCAGAGACACACCAAACTGACATGAAAGAACTAGCAGCGACAAAGGCCAACCTATGTTTCACCTCACGTCAGCTTTGTCTGGGCCAGTTGGATTGAAAAAGTGGCAAATGAACACACCAAACAGACTACAGCCAACAGCCGACTAGCACATATGTTCTGTGCCTGTGGGACAGAAATAATGCCTTCTACCATCAGGTAGCGGTATCTGTATTTGCCATTCAGAAAGGGAAAGAAGAGCTATAATGCATAAGTATAAGGTATAAACAAAACACCTCTTGTTCAAAACAGCTGCTGTTTAAAGCTGCTTCTAATCAAGTATATGTCTGATAAGAAGTTGCAAATGACACTGCCATTCTCAGTCCTTGGTCTTTTGGTTGTGGAAGAAGAAAGGAGGTTGTGGAGGTGAAAAACAAGGAGAAACTGCACTAAATGTATGAAGTTATGGATACTACCGTGACAGGCTGTAGGGGCTTTCCTGAACTGTTCTCTTCTCATGCAGATTCACTAGGCTCAACAGCCAATCAGAGTGGTCTCTCTCTCACCGACAAGGCCCGACCACCGACGCCAATTCAACAATTGGCCTAAAAAAACTACAGATGGAGGCCGACTAGTAGAGTGCCGGTGTGGGACACATTGGCAAGACAAGCCCCGACAGATGTTCACCGACTGACATCTGACTGTCGACTAGAGAAACACCAAGCTGACGGTTGGCTGTTGGCTTGATGTGTCTTTTACCTTAAACCATGTGTTTGCACAAAACCTGTATGACTAAACGGCAGTGTGGAGCAGGGGGAGGTGAATGGTGTCTGTGTGATTTCAGTCTGTGGTGGTACTAACAGTGAGTGTGTAAAGGGGGTGTTTAATACAGAAGCTGTTTTAATATATTACAGGTTGTGATACTTCTCCCCCTCCTCTTGT